TAAAAGCTATTTTATCATACAATTATTGTAAATTATATCTGCTATGAAAACATAAAGTAATACAGGTACAAGATCAACAGTCACATATTCCCTCAGTAGATTGATTATAAAACACAGTAAAGAGATTGTAGATAGGAGTTAACCATTGAGCACTACTTTATGATATGTCTAAGTACTAATTACAGCCTTTCTGGTCGATTCCATTGCTTCCTCTATAAAGTATCGTTGTTATAGCTTGACGTAGTGCCATTTGTTGACTAAAACAAAACATGAAAATAGTGACTGGAAATACATAAATAATTAAGAAAAGAACTATATGCGGTATATTGCATACACTTGCCCCCACAAAAGTCAAATTTTGAAAACTTCCTGAAATGTGCTGAATTCAATAAATTGTATGAGAAATATAAATTAACAGAACATATTATAGTTTCAAAGCAGTTTATTCACAATTTTTGTTTTTATGACATCACAAACTAGTCTGATTTTATATCCTTTTTCAGAAAGAGTACAAAATGGACAAAATTTTAGCTTTAAAATTTATAGAGCACATGTTTGTTCAGGAATAATATTTACATATTTCATTGATATTATTATTCTACACATTATATCAAAATATTTATCCTGAACACACATGCGCTCGGTGACTTTTACTCACAATATCGACGAAATATGTACATTTTTCTGTAGAATTCATAAAAAACTGAAATTTACATCATGTTTGTGACGTCATTACGAACATACGAGGGCGGTTCGGAAATTATTGAGACATTGTGTATATTTTGCTTTCTAATGAACGTCTTTCGGTGAAAATTAGCATATACGTTTGACATACATTAAGAATTCATAAAAGCAAAAAATATTTTACAAATATTAAATATTTTCTGTACAATGGTATATAAATGCGTCATCAGTAGGGGTACCCGGAGCAGTCTCGAAATCAGATATTGAAAATATGTAACACCAACGTTCTTACTCTTCGTGGACCCATAATAAGATCGAAAATAATTCTTTTTATGTGTATAATTTTTCAGCTTTAATTCAAATTCATTTTGTGCAACTTTGATAGAATTTTGATCAGGAATACGGAGATCATAAAAAAATTAAGTGCGGTAGAGAAATCTGCTAAGAACGAAAAAATGGATTTTGACGTCATGGGCAGAGCAGCGAACATACCTAAAATTTTGTGTAGCGCAATGTAGAACTCTTTTCCAGACACAATGACCTGCTAAAATAATAACTACGAGAAAAAAAATAATGTGTTAGGGTTTGTTATTTAATTGGTATACATTTTTTTCTTACAATTAATTCAACCAGAGTAAAATCAAAAGCTCCGGACGACCATCAGTTATTACGTACGGTATTAATATCGTTACGGTATTAATATCGTTGACCCGCGTTGCATAAATCAGCACTGCATGATTTTAAGTCATCTTTTCCCACAAATGAAAATATTACACTCGGGTAGCAACAGCATAAATTTTTAAGGAATAGTTTAAGGAAAGAGACTGTTTGATTTTTGTACTGTTATATGTAATAACAAAGAAGGAAAAGGATTAAATGCTTTCCGATCGTTTTACATGCGAAACCATCCCTGGCTGACGTGACGTTAAAACGACGTATGGATGCTGCTCCGGGTCGATAGACATATGCATGTTTATTATTTCACCGAAACTTTTCTTATTATCATAGGAATTAGAAATTTTGCATAAGTGTTTTATTTGTTCTTTATAAAATGTTGATGAATTTTCCTGAAATTATCTCCGTCCTTTATGGAGTAAATGTAATTGTCTCAATAATTTCCCAACAGCCCTCGTATGACGTCATTACTTATGAAAATATTCAGTGCTTTGAAGTCAGCATATACTTCCCTGTTTAAAAACTTAATTAAATATACCTCCATCAAAGTTTGATTTGGGGGGCAAATATTGGTTATTACCGAATAAAGTTCTTTACAAATGTGTGGATGTACTTTTGATGTCTTTTCATAGTGTATATGTTGAATATTTATCTGAACGTAGACATAAGAAGTAAACTTAAAAAAAAAAATTCTACAATTTATATCATGGAATGGGTCAACATTTTGTAACAAATATACCACTTATTATATCTTTAATAAACAAAGCAAAAATCTAATTATTAATTAATAATTCAAAATTGCTTACTCTCGTCAGCTAATGGTTTTGCGGCTCCTAGTTGTGGTTGCTGAATAGATATAGAAAACAAGACAATTAAAGCTAATAAAGAAATGATCTACAGTGCTTTTTGCACAAAAACAGTATTGCTTAATAATGAATCTAATGTTCTTAATTCAAAATATACACTTATGCTCACACTGTCAATGATTTTCTTTGTATCTTCTGGTGAAATTTTGTATGGACTGCTGGCCACAGATGTGTTCTCACTGAAACGGAACAAAAGAGAGAGTGCCGTAGGGAAGCCAACAGATACAGAGAAGAATATAGAAAGATCTCAGCAATACCTATATATCATAATGTATATAAAGTAAGAGCTAACAGTTGAGAGCAAATTAACAAAAACAGTTATAGCAAATGCCTACCAAAAATAAAGGAAAGGTCATTGCATCAAAAGAAGAGGAATAAGTAGAGGAACAACTTTTAATTTGCCTATTTTTGACTTTATTTTTTGCATTAGAGATACATGTAATACTTTATGTATAAAATAAGTCTTTCTGGTTCTCAATCTTCTGACACACACACTGAGATCAGTACATGTATTTTCCTATTCTGCAGCTTAAAGTCATTCAAATGGTTTCTTTCTGTACTTTTGAGTTTTTTTTCCAATAATTTTGTGTTGGCAATTCTACGACTTTCATTCTTATGGGTTCTCCATTTGAATAATGTTTGAATTGTTACATTATTATCTTTTTTTTGTAGGCAATCCCAATATAAATCAATGTCTTAAAGTGAATTCCAATCATTTTTTTTAAAACTTTAATACCCCATAACAGTTTATATGGGAGTACAATTCAAAGGGATCATTTCCAGAAGTCAATCCATGATCCATATTTTGAACCTTAATCCGGCCAAAACCAAATGAATATGGAATCTCTGAAATAGTGAACATTTTTTATTTGGTTCATTTAACACTGTGAGGGTAAAATAAAATCATGAAGAAAATCACTTTGCACTGTTTTTCATAAACACTTTTTAACAAGTATGTGTATGAGTAAATTCAACAGCAGAACTTTTATTGTTTTTGTTCTATGTACATGTATATATTATTGTAAATGTTGTATGGCTATCCAGATTTTATGTATGGGAGAGGAATATCTAAGTTTTTGGAACTTGTGTCCAATCTCTTTGACATATTGTCAATAAAATATGTTCAAAATAAAACAACTTTTACTGCAACTGACTGTCCATTCTAAACGATCCAGTCAATTAAGTAAACTGTAAAACTCACTACTTCACATCTGTCAAATACCACTTACCATGATAAACCGTTATTATCACATTCTTTGCCAATTAATTTTTGCCACTGTTGATTACATTCTCTTACAATCTTCATGGCATACTCCTGATAACAAAATAATTACTGAATAATAAATCATAATTATAACAAAAGTACACTTCACTGCAAGAGATGTATTGCACATACAGAATATGATAAATTGTAAATGTAGATAACAGTGCACTCTAATTCCATGGCATTTTCTTATTTGATTGATTAGAGTCAATAAGAAATTAGAGCATTTGAGTTTTGAAATCAAAAAGTATTAATTTAAAGCATGTATAATTGTGCATATGAATTTACAGTGAAAGGTGCTTAAATATGAATACTGGCATTTACTGCTAAACTGAGTATATTTACAGGATTTAGAGTGGAAACTATGATTTAAAATCCAGTGCTTGTCAATCAATCAAAAAAAAAAAAAAGAAGCTATAAGTAAAATTTGATCAGAATATGCAATTTTTTTAAAAAATGCCAAGCTTGCATTAACTTGTCATTTTGCATGATATGAAAATTTTGGTAGTATAAATTTTTTTAAGGACTAGAAAACATACTGGAGTTTAGGTCACTGCAAAACACATGAAGATTACAAATGTATGTGGAACAGAGCACATAGCTACAATCAACTTTGTGTAATAAATAAAGAAGAAAAAGAACACTGAATATCAAAGATACTCATAGATACTCATGTAACTTCATTTCATTACAATGCATCAATTCTGAATGAAATATGTAGCGAATACCTTATTTTTTGCTTCACCATTGAAAGCAAAGTGATTTTCTGGTTTGCCATCAGGGATCTTGTAAATTCTAAACCATTCATATGTTGCCTGAAAAAAAATGTAAGTGATAATTTATGGAAGATTTCTGAAACATTAATTATGAACTGATGAAACTGAACAACTGGTAATTGTACTTGGGTTGCACAAAATTAAATATCTAAGAATTTTTTCCACACTTGTACGAAATAAAACAAGATATTTGTTAAACACTTATGCCCCCTCTTCCAAATAATTGGAATTTTTCGAAGTTCTAGGGACATAACACTGTCCAAAATGACTTAATCATACCCAAAACAGATTCTGACCTAGATATTCTTTTGATAAATTTGTATGCCAAATTTTATTTCAATAAGTGCAACCTCTGCAAAGAAAATGAATGGAAACTGCAAATTATTGGAATTTTTCTAATTCCAAGGGGCATTACTCTGTCCAAAATATCTTGATCATACCCAAAAGAGAACTTGATCTAGATATTCTCATGATAAATCTGCCTTCTATATTTCAATTCAGTATGTGCAACCATGGCAAAGAAAATGAACGGAAACTGATAGAGGACTGACAGACAGCAGCATAGCAATATGCCCTCTCTTTTTCCAAAGGGGTCATAAAACAAGAGGCCCATGGGCCACATTGCTCACCTGAGTAAATTGGGTGATGCAGTTCTTTACCAGATTCCCCCTCTTGCTATACCTATCATGCCCCACTACCCCCTTCCCTTTATGATTTTAAAACTTTAGAATCTACACTACCCAAGGATGCTTCCATATAAGTTTCAGCTTTCCTGGCCCAGTGGTTCTTGAGAAGAAGATTTTTAAAGATTTGTTCTATATATTGTCAATGTGGCCCCGCTCTTCTCCAGGGGGTCATGATTTTAACAATTTTTAAATATCTACAGTACCCAATGATGCTTCCACGTAAGTTTCAGCTTTCCTGGCCCAGTGGTTCTTGAGAAGAAGATTATTAAAGATTTTTTTATATATTTCTATGTAAAAATTGGATTCCCTATTGTGGCCCCGCCCTACCCCCGGGGGTCATGATTTTTACAATTTAATATCTGCATTATCCAAGGATGCTTCCACATAAGTTTCAGCTTTCCTGGCCCAGTGGTTCTTGAGAAGAAGATTTTTAAAGATTTTTCCAATATACTTCTATGTAAAACTTGGATTCCCTATTGTGGCCCTGCCCTATCCCGGGGGTCATGATTTAACAATTTAATATCTACACTACCCAAGGATACTTCCACATAAGTTTCAGCTTTCCAGGCCCAGTGGTTCTTGAGAAGAAGATTTTTAAAGATTTGTTCTATATATTTCTATGTAAAACTTGGATTTCCCTATTGTGGCCCCGCCCTACCCCCAAGGGTCATGATTTTAATAATTTAATATCTACACTACCCAAGGATGCTTCCACATAAGTTTCAGCTTTCCTGGCCCAGTGGTTCTTGAGAAGAAGATTTTTAAAGATTTGTTCTATATATTTCTATGTAAAACTTGGATTCCCTATTGTGGCCCCACCCTACCCCAGGGGGTCATGATTTTAATAATTTAATATCTACACTACCCAAGGATGCTTCCACATAAGTTTCAGCTTTCCTGGCCCAGTGGTTCTTGAGAAGAAGATTTTTAAAGATTTGTTCTATATATTTCTATGTAAAACTTGGATTCCCAATTGTGGCCCCGCCCTACCCCCCGGGGGTCATGATTTTATCAATTTAATATCTACACTACCCAAGGATGCTTCCACATAAGTTGCAGCTTTCCCAGCCTTCGGCTCAGGTGAGCTAAAAACTAGTCAAGCAAAACTATAAGAAAAGTAGCCTTGAATCAATTTTCACACTATTAGGTAATTATAGAAGCAACTGCCAAGAAAATCAATCTTGACAATGTATGCTTGCATTCAAAAGTTTTATTGAGATTTTACCAAAACTCATTTCATTTTGAAATTTTACTTTACAGCAGGATGACAAGCACTTAACATTCTATAGGAACTCCTGTTGTTTTCAACCAGAATGGCTATGTGTAATCATTAACAAAGTTATAAGCCTCTTACCTTGAGGAAGCCAGGCATATGTTTGTCTACATCTTCTATGTCTGTAAATTTTCAAATAAAATAGAATGATTTTTTAAAAATACATGTTATAAACTTGTACAATATATTTAGACACTGACTTACTGTTTACAGTACTGCATACTGTAAGCAAGAGGCTGATCATATAAGATATAATTCAATTCACAATACATGTTTACCATTTCTTACCATTTAACTCAGCTGCTAATGGGTCTGTCACATCGATGACAATTATCTTCCAATCTGTCTCACCTAAAAAATATACAAGGTAAAATCAAATACATCTCTTAAATAATACTTTTAAAAATGCATTTTGTAGAAACCATGAAATCATAGCTACTAAAATTTATATTTTTTAAATTGTAAATTTTTAAATATTTTTTAAAAAAATGAATTTAAGTGAACTGGCTGAGACATACATCAGTGTCTTTTTTTTTCATCTTAAAAGACACAAATAAACAATAACAGCATCTAACTTACTTCAGAAAAGAATTACATGAAGGAAAAAAATTTCTTTTAACAAAATCATATGCTGCCTTCATAAAAGCTTGAAATCACGGAAAGTTTTTTTGTTCACTGTAAATATGATAAGATTAAGATATCTGAAGACAAACCCTCGTCAATCAGACACATAACACCCAGGACCTTCACCTGGACTACTGCTCCACGTTTATGAACCTGGAAAAATTATTGATCATAAACTATTTTGATATTAAATTTCCTTTTTTTATTCAAAACAAAGGAGTTTATTTTAAGAAGCAAATTTAAGGTAAGGCAAAGTTTTACACAAGAATAAATGGGAAGAATCTTTAAAAATCTTCTCAAGAACAGCAAAACTATAATCAGCCATATTTATAAGGAACTGGAAGCATCCTCATATAGGACAGATACAATACGTAAAAGTTTTTTTAAAATAATAAATTCCAGAGATATGGTAGAACCAAATTGGCTGAATAAAGTTTTACACAGAAATGCATTAGCCGCCAATATTGGGGAAAATCTTAAAAATCCTTCTCAAGAATAGCAAAGTCTTGATTAGCCATATGTATGTATGTTAGCACCCTCAGTGTATACTGAATAACAATTAAAGCATGACTCCTGGGGGTAGAGTAAAGTTACAGTAGCTGAACAAGAAAAGCAATACATGTACAATGATTAGTGGTTTTACATGTATTATATATGGAAACATTTTCAAGCAGTGTAGATGCATATTTGTCAAAATCATGATCCCATTCCTCTGGATAGCTTTTGAACTTTGCTCTTTGACCCATCCCACCAATGTTAGGTTCAGGTACATTTAAAAAGCATTATTCTAAAACATAATCTGATACAAAATATTCTGTGCAAGTCCCAATAATCACTAAACTCATATTTTCCACTTATCTCTAAATGATACATTTCCATATGTACTGAGGACCTCATGGCCTATAAACAATACAGACATTTACCTTTTGACCTATTTCACAGACATCCAGGGGGTCATTATCACCAAAGGTTTTGGTTTCAGGGGTCTCATGCTTTGGATCCTCCCATGTCTAAAGATACAGTGTATGAATAAAATTAAATATGATTTCTGTGCATGGCAAAGTCATGTTTGTGAGAATGTCTATATTTTCTGCATCTAAAATTTTGAAAATTTAACAAAGCCATGGCATATCGGCTCATATATTTTGTATAATCGTATATGTACTAGTATTTACTTCTTATGAAAAAAAATTTGATAAGTTGAGCCTTCACTTCAGTGAAGCATCCTGCTATACCTGTGGAAAAGCACCATAATTCCAAATGTAGCCGTGGTGTGGAAAGACATTCTTCACAAATCTCAAAGCCCCCTTCTTGACGTCTTGCTTAATGGGATTAAGTTTCTCCTCCTTGCATACCTGGAAAATAACCCACATTAATTACCTAAATTGATAATCAATCAATGAGACATCAAACATACACAATCCTTTGTGGTCTTTGTACATACATGTATATACACTATACTTGATAGAGGTGTCTCTCTGAAGTGGTAAACTTATATAAGATTGATGTTTACATAATGAATTACCATATCTTTATTTCTATTATCTAGGATCAGATTGAGTATTTATTTACCTCCATTTTACTGTTGGTCCAGCGAGGAATTTCCACCACCATATTCATAACTGTCTTCTCTGTGTTGGCAAAGAGTGGGATATCATGGAATGGTGACACAACATTCCCACTCGGGCCACCTGTAAAGCAGGGCATAATTACCATAACTATATAAAGCAGGGAATAATTACCATAATTGCCAATAGTTTTCTGTACAACAGCTCATATGTTGCAGTAAACGTTGCCATAAACATTTTAATCACAGGAGTCAGGAGTTTTTATAGTAAAAAAAAAATCCTGAAAAAAATATCCCATCCTCAACTGTTTTTTTTTTAGTTGAGGATGGGATTTTTTTTCAGGATTTTTTTTTTACGATAAAACTTCAGATTCCTGTGTTTCAATACTGAAAAATAATTAGGATCTTAATAAAATTTGTCCTGAAGAATGTGAAACACCTATGTCTTGAAAATTTAATGCACAAGCACAGAAATAATTCTTTTGATTATATTGAGCTTTCATGGCTGGGTTATGCATTTTTTTCACAATAGCTGCAAGATTGTTTTCGGAACTAACAACCAAGAGAAACATTTTATTGCTTAACTTATGCCCCTGTTTAGCAGCTTTAATATTGCCAATGTTAAAGTCTTTCAGATGTTGATTAGTTTCCAAAGTTAATGTAAAGTGATAAAACATTTTGGTACCCAATAAATGTCTTTTCATGAGGAATGCACTGTATGTCAAATGCGAAAACCTATTAAAAATTTTTTTATGACCAAGTTTTAAGTCAGATTAAAGATTTTTATAGGTATTAAGTAAAACTTCAGGGTCAAAGTCAGAAGCAGTGATTAAGAAGGGCCTGGGTCACACACTAAATAGTCTCACCAAAGTGAAAATTTTATGCTTCAAATCAACCACTGGCTTGTCAGGGTGCGCATTAAAGTTATAGTGATGTTGGTTGGAAATACAAAATGTACTTTGTGTATGACTTCCTAACTTGTTTTACCTTCATTTTAAATGCATTTTTTTTTAAACAGCAGAACAACCCATTCACCTTCCTAGTCTTAAACCAAGGTTAAACTTTTATTTTTCCAGACAAACTGACCAAATACTTGCTTGCTCCTGAATCAAAAGGATTTTTATCCTCAAATAACAAGTTAAACATCTCTCCAATTGCTTGCATTGTGCATACACAGAATAAAAATATTTTTTACATTGTATCTGTTACAGTAAAACTTGTGTGACAGACTGTATAAATGCCTAGCAAATTTATTCATCAAATTTAGAAACATAATAAGTCAAAGTGGCATGTGTATGGAATGGCTCTGGTAGTAAAGACTGAAATAAAAAAAAGTTGATTTAAAATTGTCATAATGCAGATACAGTGCTCAGGTTTAAATACAAACAAACACTGCACACACAGATGATATCAAAGATAACAAGTAACATAAAACCTTCAATAAGTTGACTAACTGCAGTAAAACATATCAGTAATGCCAATCAGCAATTTTATTCATTTTCTTTTCTATTTAAGTCTAAATACACTATGGAGTATTTACTCCCTCTCTTATTAATGCGTTAAACTGCTACAGAAATTGTAGTGCTGTTTCAAGAAATCACTAAATTTTAATGGACATAAAATGTAAGTACACATGTCATCCTAATTCCTTATCAAGAAATTCTAAATATAGAACTCGGTCATCAAATTTATAATTCAGAGAAACTCTGGTTTTTGTGAAAGTACAAATTGAACTTTTAAATTCACTTAGCAATAAAACTTGCATTTATCAGCTTAAATCATGAATACTATCTGGTCTAAAATACTTTGGAAAGGAAATGTTTATATTTGGAATTGAAAATTTGAATATTAAAAATACAAGTTTATATTTTTATATTGATTTATTATATGGAATGAAATATTGCAATAAAATATTAACATATATTTCTTCATACCGAATTTAAAAGGAGTTTAATAGTTGAAAGGCCCCCATCCCCAAAGAATATTCACCAAACAACTATTGAAAAAATTGCCAAAAAGTAGTACTGCAGTTATCATGAAAGAATCCGGATGGCAAATACCTGTTATTAAATGCTGTAAGTTGCCGATCAATACCAATAATTATTTCTGATATAAACGAACGGTGACACAACTTTTCTTTCAAATATATAAACATAGGAAAATTACATCTTCATCTATAAATTATAAAAATGAATAAGTTTTGTTTAAACTTTTAAATTTCAAGCCAACAATCTCAGTCTGTTACTGAAATTTTTAACAAAGAGGATTTACTTTATTCATTTCAAACGTATGTGTTGTTTTACAACGTAATAAAAATGTTCCCATAGCACACACACCAAATCCACAAATTTAGAATGACCAGTTTGGTGAGTAAACTGCTGAAATCCACATATGCCATATTTTAACACCTTTAATTAGATAACAGTTATATTTGGAGTGAAAATACTTAATGCAAACAAATCATCAGGACAAACCCACCCGTTACCTCGTGAAAGGGATACTTGTACATTTTTGATTAAAATATTTAATCAATGAATATTCATGGCCAAATAAATTCATGAAAATTCCAGATGTCTACTGTTTCCCTGAAGCCAGAATAACACGTGTCCAAATAATATACTATTATATAGTACAATAACAAATTGTTAACACTAAGTCTTGACATACAATTTATGGAACCCCCCCCCCCCCCCCCCCTTCACGTGTTCACGTTGAACATTTAAAAATCCTCCTTGACCCTTTCTAAAAAACGAAGATTTTAATATAAAACATAATTGTCTTGGAAGTACTCTTCAAAGAAAATGTATAAGATTACTTTAGAGAGTAATTACTAAATAACAGCGAAAACGTCTTACTGAAAAACACTCGGTATTCCAAAGAATTTGGACATCCTCTTTCCACTATACCGTACGACATTTTGACCTGAGTTGAAGAGCTGAAGTGTCTTGCAAAAACCCTTTTACAACAAAACGTAGCTGGGGTTGCAAAAGTTGCTGTCAGAAACTTCGGCTGCTTGACTTGACAGAGAAGACGTCCTATCCCTCTCAACTTGTCTACGCGTTGCATTGAAAGGAAGTTGACAGTCTTCTTCAGATTGGTAAGTGCGCGCGCAAACGGAATCAAAGATCATGCTAATCAAAGGCTCTACCTCCTTTGCATGTAATATTGAATGAAATGTTCATCAGATATAATTTAGTATTCTAAGGTATCAACAGAAGTTCTTGGAAACCATAAAAGCACAACCATTTTAGAATAAAACCAGATATGCGGCACGAATTAAACGGAAAATTAGTGTTTTCAGTTGCAAAAAAAAAAAAAAAAACAAAAAAAAAAAAACAAATCGAAAGTAGAGGAAACACCATAACACATGTAAGTAAATATGGTAAAGAAACTGATTTTTTACAGCAACTTACATTTTACATTAAGAAAAAATATATTTAACACTAACAAAAATTGAATCATAACGTGTTTAATGTTAGAGAGAAAGATTTGGAATTGGGGGGCAGGTGACAGGGTTGTGATTTTTGTATTCATATGTCAGAAGCAGAATTTGTCCAAAATCTAATTCTTATACGTGAAAAGAATATTAAATCGCTTGCTGTGGCCTTCAACTCGACATTTACCGAAGACGACACGACGTATTGTCAAATAACAATGGAATAAAATTTACTATTCTTATGTCGATATGATATATCCCGGCGAGCTTGAGATAAAAGATAAACAGAATCTGTCACATCTGTTTCAAGTTTGGATCATGTATTTTATTTACTTGAAAAAGACGTTTACAACTAATTAATGGTAATCTAATAATCAAGCTTTATGATAAACGTGATTACATTAACTTTTCAATCATCCGTGCATTTGAAGAGAAAGAGGGCAGAACTGGCTCAAAAGGCATATGAACTCAGGAAATCAGGAATGAAGACGAGAATCCGTGAAACGAAAGACGATGTGATTCTGGAGTATCGACAAAAAGGAGAAAAAGAATGGCTCGCTTTTAGTGATTCCTTCTAATTGATCTAGATAAGAACAAGATTATTTGCAGGAGATGACAGGTTGTAGGAGTATGATATGGTGAAGGTTTTGTATATCTGTAAAGTGCTGAGTTATGCTACAGTTATGCTACAGTTGGTATCGTGTTGTTTACTTGTCAAATAATAAGTATGTTTCAGATGCTATTAGAAAGATATACTAAGGTATGCTGCAGATGTTTAAAAGTAAAATACCAGTGTTTTGAGCTTTGGATGATATCTGTAAAATTCAGAGTTATGCCTTAGTTGTTAATAACTTGTAAAATATTGAGAATTTTTGGTATCGTTATCTGTGAACTACTGTGTTATGTCATAGTTGATAACTTGTAACATATCTACATGTAGTATGTCTCAGGATATATATTTGTTTGGCAGCTTATGGTTTGCTGTATACATTACATGGGGACATATTGGTTTTTTCTTTTTAATGTAATAAATACCTAAATTTCAACAAAGATTACAAAGATTACTGGTAGAAGTTCTTAGAGGAGCTTGTATTTATTATTATTTTTTCTATGAGAGTACTAGGGTTCACTATCTTATTTAGGTGGCTAAGTTAAATTAAAAAGACCCAATGCGATGTAATACATGAATTTTCTTGATTTGTTTTGTTACCATACAGGAAGTATTTTTCATTTTTGATATATGTGTGAAAGAATGGAGAGTATGCAACATGCATATTTTTTTGCCTTTATTCAACTGTGTAGTGTAATCTATGACTAAGTTAAAAATTACTTCTGTAAACTGCAGAGGTTTACATGATTCTATGAAAAGAAAGGATGTCCTAAACTATTTAAGAAATTTTAAATCATCTATTTATTGTTTACAAGACACCCACTGTACAGAATTAGAGAAAAATTCAGTTTATGCCCAATGGGGTAATGACATACTCATCAGCTCAGGAAAATCAGATGCAAGAGGGACTTTAACCCTTTTTAATAACACAAATGAAATAAAAATTTCTAAAGTTTATAGTGATAATGAGGGGAATTTCATTATATCAAATATAATGGTGGAAAACAAGTACTCAATCACTTTGGTTAATTTATATGGTCACAATAAAGATAATCCTAAATTTTATGCAGAAATAAGTGATAAAATGGATGATTTTTTTGATACTGACTTTATAATTATGTGTGGAGACTGGAATGTAGTACAAGATTACCAGTTAGACTGTTACAATTATGTTAGAGAAAACAATCCCAAAAATAAACTTGAAATTGAAAAATTAAAATCAAAATTCAATTTAGTAGATCCTTGGACTGAAGCCAAATTATGATAAAACTCAATGTATTAGGATTGGATCTACTGTTCATACTGATGATAACTTGTGTGATAAATATCAAAACTTGATGTGGTCACAGGAACCATTTACAGTGTTAGGTATAGCATACTGTGTAGATCTAGACACAAACACTATGTTTGATTTGAATTTTTTGCCAAAGATTGACTCTGTCAAAAAGCTTATATCATCATGGTCTAGAAGACATTTATCAACGGCAGGTCGTATAACAGTAGTAAAAACCTTGCTTTTACCTAAATTTAGTCACTTATTAATTAGTTTACCGAGCCCTTCTAAAGAAAAACTCAAAGAAATTGAAGCTATATTTTTTCATTATATCTGGAATACCAAAACGGCTAGGGTGGCTAAAAATATTATATGCCAAAGTTATGAAAACGGTGGTATGAGAATGACATGTCTTGATTCATTTTGTAAAAGTTTAAAAATTACATGGATTCGCAGATTGTTTGATAGTTCATGTAAATCAGCCTGGAAAGAATTGCTAAAAGATTTAATTCCTGACATTAAATATTTAGTTATCTATGGTAGGGATTTTTCAAAAAAACTTAAGAAAGATACGGAAAATGTTTTCTGGAATGATGTTTTTTCAGCATTGTTGGATTTGAGATTATGTATTGATGATCAAACATCTATTTTAAGTCCCATATGGTATAATCCATCAATATGTATAAACAACAGAAGTGTTTGTTATAAGTCATGGCTGAGACAAGGTATACAATTTGTTTTTGATTTTTATGATACAAATGGGACTTTGTTAGGATACCAAGACTTTTGTAAACAATATGATTTAAAAACACCTTTTACAATGTTTTTAGGCATAACAAATTGTATTAGAAAATTACAGTTGAATTATGATCATAATATAATTCAAAGAAATCAACCTTTCTTCCCAAAATTCTTACAAACAATAACAAAAAGCAAACAAGGTGCAAGAGATTTCTATGATGTTTTTATTAGTCAGAAATACAAAAAACCAAAAAGTGAAATGAAATGGGAAAACATTTTAGAACTTAATGTTGATGAATTTTGGTGGAAAAAACAAAACATTCTGTTTTTTAACATAACAAATGATATACAGTTAAGATGGTTCCACTATAGAATTGTACATAGAATTTTAGCTACAAATACATATTTACACAAAATTGGTGTTACTGACTCAGATTTATGTAGTTTTTGTAAGAAACACCCAGAGACACTTTGTCGTCTTTTTTGGGAATGCGAGTGTGTTGCAGAAATTTGGGAAAATGTACTGGATTGGATGAAAGAACAGTTTGGAGTTGATATATCTCTAAACAAAGTTGATGTTTTGTTGGGAAAACATTATAAATATAACAATTTATTATATGATTGAATAATTTCCATCTCTCTGATTGGCTGAGATCCAACTATGTTAGAAAAATACTACGTTGTATTGACCTGCACGTGACGTTCCAGGTGAATACAAGGATTTATTTCCTCTACATTGATCTAAAAATAGATTGGGAAATTCCAAATGGATACAAATTGTTTTGGAAAGCTATTTCAACGACTAAGACTCTTTTTTTCATGTGAACAAAACATAAGCAAATATATATTTTCGGGTGAGAGTGGCAAGAGGGGATGCAGGGACCCCCCTCCAACACTTTTACTGATACAACAATTTTTACTTTTTGGCAGTTTTCTCTGATAACACTCCTTCCTTTCAATGTCTATCTTATAAATAAAAAAGACTGACGTTATATATTTTTTCATGGCACCTAAAATTGATAAAAAATATTCCAAATTGATACGACTGGTAAGGTTTATTTACATTTTAATTCGACTTCTCTCTTGCAGGACTAAGTTAAATGCATACAAGTAATGAGCTGTATAATTTCATCAGTGAATCATATAATAAAACAATTATTGCTGTCTCTTTCGGTCAATACAATGATTTAGCCATCTTCGAAGTACAATATTCACCTCGCCCTTCGGGCTCGGTGAATACTGTACTTCTCAGATGGCTAAATCATTGTATTGACCTCAAAAAACAGCAATAATTGTATAATATTTAATTTAGTAGTATGTATAATAAAAAAGCATATTTATAGAAATAGATGCAAAAAATGTGTACCATCTTTTGAGAGGGTCAAACAAGAGGTTATGTATTATTTTAATTGTGAAAAATATATTTATAAGAAAAATGGGGAAATGGACAGTTTTAAAAAACGATGGAATTTGATAATGTTTTAATATGATTAATATATTTGAAAAAACAATGCAGTTACAGATGTACATCAACTTTTCACTGATTATATTAAGATTTCAGTTGTTAAATATTATTATAAATATAATCATATGCATGTTATGTAGCGAAAGGTGTGTGAATGATATGTGAAAAAAATGTCCTGTCACATTATGATTGTGTAATATATATGTGTATTATGTATGTTACTTAGTGAACCCAGGGCCCCAACCCTGGCACTATTATATAATTGGACATGTGTTGGGGCAATTAAAAAAAAAAAAAAAAAAAAAAAACAAAACTTTTCAATCATCAGCTTCCCTTACGTATGCAGCAAATACCTTCATCAGTCATCACCAGTATATAAACAGGGTTTATATCTCTTGGTTGATTTGATTAGAGCATTTACATAAAACCTAAGCGAAGGGCTATGTTCATACTAATTTTTGGGCCATTATATACACTCAGAATTGTCGGCATATTTTCCCGTTATTTCCCGATCATGACAAGGAGCACACGGTAGGCCTTTCAACTGCCGCTAGGGGTCGGTTTTATGAACGATAACTCACTGTTGAAACATGTTGAGAGTAGGCTCGGGGCATCTAACTGTTTACACGCAAGGCAGTTTTTAGCATTTCCCAAGTGTTTCTTTGCTCTCAGTAGAATCCAGTGGTTTTAAAATGTAGCACCTGCAATGTTAAACTTATTTACTGTATACAGTGTAGTTGTGGACACCATTTCACTTCATATAATTAAAAGTTTTAATTAAAATAAAAAGTGAAATCTACACTCCTTCTTAGTTCTAACCTAATTAAATTTTTATACTCGGTCGTTCCCCTTCGTGCTTAGTAACACAAGTATTAAGATGATCAATTGCTGCATTTACTTGTAAAAATATATATATTTATATAGGAAGCAAAAAAGCGCGAAAACAAAAAACATGGCATGAAATTTTCTTCTTCATAATAATCATCAAAGAGAGTTAAAAATATTGATTATAGTCTGTTCCCCATCTATTTGACCCTGTTATTTCAGGTAGAGTGAAGGTATTCTCTTTCTCATGGTCAACACTTTTGTGTACAAAACAATGTAAGGAACCCCTTTGTGTTCATAACAATACCAAGGCTGAAGCAGCCTATATGTCATTCCTGTAAACGATAACTCATAAATGGGCACTAAGTTGGTCATTTTTCACACCTGAGTTACCTATCCTTAAAACACAACATCGGAAAAGTCAATTATAAATAATTAAACTTTTTTATGAAGAAATTAAATGTATGCATAAGTTATTATCTTTTTTGATAATTTCATGTACCTATAAATCTATCTATGCAATGTTTTTTACCATATGTGCAACTTGAAAAATTAGTTGAAAGGCCTACACACGGCAGGTGTGACCTGGTGGTTGGCAGGGGATGCTCACTCCTCTATGACACCTGATCCTGATAAGTTTAAATTGATAAATTTTAAACTTTTAATGTAACACATGCATAAAATGCTTAAAAATTATTTACTACTCCAGATGTTTATTATGCGTCATTTTTGTATATTCCGATAAAACAAACCTGTCAAAAGGATGTTCTTTACTTTTGTAGATTTCCAATATTTATCTATAAAAGTGTAAATTTAAGCATACCTTTTCTTTAATTCTTTTCATTTCCACTGTAGGGTTGCAGACGTTTAACACCCCCCCCCCCCCCCCCACCCCACCCCCCCCCCCCCCCCCCCCAAAAAAAAAGAAGAACTTCAACAACATGTATTTATTAGGTAATTATTACTTTAATGGACAAATTACATTCATTTAATCAATTTATTTTTTTTCTAATTTATTTAATTTCAAGAATGCAAATTATATTTCAGATTGAGTAATCGACAGTAAAGTTAAAACAAGGACAAAACATTCTAATTGCCTACAGATGCCATGGGACCACAACTTTTCAGTGTGTATGTAGAGAGGATTAAAAAAATGTTTAAAACTTACGATGTTGTTTTCAAACATTTGCATTTAATTCATCAAAAAAAAATTTTTAAGAATTCTACCATCCCTCTTTCACTTAAGGAATCATAAAAAATGCCAACCATATAAAATTATATATATAGCTTAAAAATTTAATTCCAAATGCAACTGAGTACCCATAGAAACTGGAGCATTTAATGATATCGGAATTTCATATCACACATATATTTCATAGAAATATTTCATATATAGAAAGCTACAGGTACCTGTTAAATCAAATATTTAAAGTTTCAAACTGTTTTTGTTGATTTTCTTGTAGCAGTAATGCAATCTTATAATCAGTGTTTTTCTTTTTAGATTTTCTTTAAATTTAGATATTTAGTATTTTCAACAACTTGTCAAAATGATTGAGTGTTTATTACGTATTTTTCAGTGATCAAAAAGGAGAAACAAATTGGAACCATCTCTAAGGAATAGCGAGAAAGAGGAATGTTTATTTAAAATGTTTCCTTTAATATTTCTGATTATATGTCAGAATGTTCCAGCAAGGATGGTAAATTGTTTGGAATTTTAACTAATCACTATTGAATCTTTTTAACGAGAGTCAAAGAATATTTGAATTATTTTTTAGTTATAAAGTCCAAATTCAAGAGTGATAATCAAGTTTGTTCCCTAATGTAGCACAATTTTATAATTGCAAGAAAATACATAACGCAAAATATTGCATAGGCCCTTATTCTTTTGCTCCCCTAGGCCTGCAACTGCTAGTCTGAAGTAACTCTAGAATTATAAATGAAAGACTGCATGAGTTTTGAAATTGAAAAAAAAAGCACAAACTTGCATTCACATCACCCTTAGTGCATGTCTATATAATTAATTAACATTGTATATATAGGGCAATCCAGTCCCAGATATGATGACATCATACAGTTATGACGTACATCCGGTCACTAAATGTCCACAGAATGCGAGTCAGTTGAGTCTAGCCTCAGACAGGCTGAACTGTACAAGAGACGATACTCTAAAACATCGGTATCACTGCATGCCAGACAGGGGCAAAACAAGGCTACTGGAATTCTGTTATCCTCAAGATCGCCTTATTATGATTCCAGGTAATGTAATTACTTTATTAACCTACGAATACCTAGTAGATGTACATAAAATTTTCAACCAGAGGAGAAAAATGAAAACTGTATATATCCCAACAGGGGTGGGGTGGGGTGTTATACTATGCTGTGTGCCAAATGTATGCTTTCAAAGCGATGTAAAGGGGGTTGGGGTGTATTATTTATCCAGTTACTCAATGCATGGATATACCCTGTATTTCGCAGAAAATGTGTCAATGAAAGATAAAATTTTCTTAGGAGTATATATATATATATATATATATATATATATATATATATATATATATATATATATATATATATATATATATGCCGATTTGGATACCTATGAATCTACCGTATACTGTCTAGTTTTATGCTGTCTGGTGAAATTTATCTATAAATTGAGGAATTGGATAAATTACACATTACCGTGTAAGTGGAAATTTTAGCGAGAGGCAAATTTAGCGGTTTGTCCTTAGAAACTGGTATTTTATTTTTAGCGAGTTGTAATTTTAGCGATTTTAAAAAGTTCCCCAAAGAACCTATTACAAATAAAACGCAATAAAATTTTAGCGATATTCAATTTTAGAGAACTTAGCACACTCGCTAATAATGCCAAAATTAAATCCTCGCTAAAAATTCTACTTATACGGTATTTAACACATAAACACTGTGATATAGAAGAGAAATGCACCTTATAAGTTCCTAAACAAGAGGCCCACGGGCCTTATAGGTCACCTGAGTATCGTGTAACAACTTTCCAACAATTGAATTTGATTTGTGTTTTAAACCAGAGGCCATGAAATTCAGAATTTTGAAAGGGGCACTATTGCTTATCATAATTATAAACTTAGCATGCTTACTCTAGTTACTTAATACCCAGAGGTAGAACAGAGTAACAGAAAAAATAGACTTCCGCTTCAAACCAGTTGTGCACCCCATCCCAAAGGAACCACTGACCCTGGGGCCACATATTTCAAAATTTTGGAAATTTTATCATTGATTAATAACTAAAAAGCAGATTTCAGAGCATTAATTTATTTTCAATCTATGTACCCCCACCCACCCTGATACCCCTGACCCAGGGAGCATGAAATTAACCATTTTGCTAAATGCACCTTTCTACATCATAAATATATATACTTGGATCATTGGCATAATACCCAGGAGCAAAGGAAAAGATTTTAAAAGAATTAATGTATTTTCACTACATAATCAAAAGAGCCACCCACCCCCTTACACCAAATGGCAAAACCCTGACACAGGGGCCATGAAATTCACAAAGAATGGGTGGACTTAACTGGCCAGAAAAATGCCGTAAATTTAAGTTTCACAAAATGTTTATTTTTTTTCATCATATAAACCCCCGATATCTTAACCGTGTATTCATGGTACGGTTGTGAATTTTAAACGCTTTTTTCGAGGTAAGCTTAATAAATATCGAAGGCATGATGCTTGAAGATTTCTTGAATATCAATAGATATAATCAGGGTCTTTCATCGTCTGAATACATAGTCAGCACATGTTTGTCGACTGTTCTTAGAAAACTGTAGTTGTATATTGAACAAAATAATGTTATATTAAAAGGAGAAGAGCGGACAAACATGTGCTCACACTTAATTTAACAAAAAACATGTTCGAAAGAAACTTATCGCTTCCATTGTTATGTCTTTGATTGACCTGATTAATATTACAATTCATCACGTGATGTCCACCTGCGAGTGTACTCGTGAAAACAGTTACATTGTATTCTTCAAGCTAATCTCGATCTAAATTATGTCTTCGATCGCGTTTTGTTGCGGTTTTCAGAATTTAGCAAAGTAGATATTGTTTTAATTTTGCGTGTCATCACATTTTTAAAAATAATTACATCGCTGTAATATGCTTAACACATATTCGAATTTCTGGAGAGAGAGAGAGATAGAGAGAGTGATGTCAACAATGACGGCGATCGATAGCCCCGCCTCCTATAAATATTGATTGGGTGACATAAAAACCACTCCGGGTACAAGTCGAATTCCGGAAGACGATACTCATGTATGGTTGCTTCAATTTTGATACATGACAACATGGCATTGTTTTAGCACAAATGTTCCACCCAATATAACCAAGTATATGTAGCTCTATCCATTGCTCGTAATATATTTCGGATTCACTTCATTTACAGCTTCGTAGAGGAGTCGCAAAAAGATCCAAAATAGGGCATTAAGTCCACCCATTCTTTGGTTGAGGCACTCTTGCTCATTATAACTATATACTAAGTTAGTTTATTTAATACCCAGGAGCAGAGAAGAAGATTTTCAAAGATTTAATGTATTTTCACTATATAATCTATATAGTTCAGCCCTTAAGCACCAGAACCCCTGACCCGGGGGCCATAAAATTGACAATTTTGGAAGAGGCACTCTTGCTCATCATAACTATTATGTATTTAGTTTAATTTAATACCCAGGAGCAGAGAAGAAGATTTTCAAAGAATTAATGCATCTTCACTATATGATCCATAGAGCCCCACCCTAACACCAGAACCCCTGACCCTGGGGCCATAAAATTCACAATTTTGGAAGAGGCACTCTTGCTCATCATATCTATGTACTTAGTTAGTTTATTTAATACCCAGGAGCAGAGAAGAAGATTTTCAAGGAAATAATGCATTTTCACTATTTAATCTATATAGCCCCGCCGTAGCACTAGAGCCCCTTATCCCGGGGCCATGAATTTCACAATTTTGGTAGAGGACTCAATGCTCATTACATTCATGCCAACAGTTTGCCTGTTAAATGTCCAGGAGTAAAGAAGAAGATTTTTAGAGATTTCATTAATTTTTGTGGTTTTTGGCCCCACCCCTCAGGCCCCAGGGGGCAGGGACCATAAAATTCACAATTTCTGTCCCCCTTCACCCATAGATGCTGTGTACCAAACTTGGTAGAGGAGTCGCAAAAAGATCCAAAATAGGAAATTAAGTCCACCCATTCTTTGGTTGAGGCACTCTAATGTATTTTCAGTATATAATCAATAGAGCCCCACCCTAGCACCAGAATTCCTAACCCTGGGGCCATAAAATTGACAATTTTGGAAGAGGCACTCTTGCTCATCATATCTATGTACTTATTTAGTTTATTTAATACCCAGGAGCAGAGAAGAAGATTTTCAAAGAAATAATGCATTTTCACTATTTAATCTATATAGCCCCGCCGTAGCACTAGAGCCCCTTACCCCGGGGCCATGAATTTCACAATTTTGGTAGAGGACTCAATGCTCATTACATTCATGCCAACAGTTTGCCTGTTAAATGTCCAGGAGTAAAGAAGAAGATTTTTAGAGATTTCATTAATTTTTGTGGTTTTGGCCCCACCCCTCAGGCCCCAGGGGGGCAGGGACCATAAAATTCCCAATTTTTGTTCCCCTTCACCCATAGATGCTGTGTACCAAATTTGGATGAAATTGGTTCAGTGGTTTCAGAGAAGAAGCTGAAAATGTTCAAATGTTAACACGCGACATACGACGCACGACGGACGAAAACAGATATGCGTATTTCATCAGAAAAAATGTATTTGATATAATTAGTTAAATATTATTTCTTTTAAAAACTTAGTAAACACATCAAAATACATTTTTTTATTTTTCTTTTTTTTATTCCTTTTTATATTTCCAGGTTTTTGCATTGTTTTGTTTAACAATGGATACATGTCCAAGAGCCAGGACAACAACTGTACAGTTTTTACCAATAACAGTTGTCCTAACGAAACGTACTACAGTTACGATATGTACAAGTGTAAGTAATGACAGACAAGGCTTTGTAAAAAGCCTTTAAAGTTTGATTCAACAACACCACGATTTACAATAAATCGCGGGTCACTTTTCGTTTAGATAACTTGGATAGTTTCGTTTGAAGATAGACGAATGTGCATTTATAAAAGAAAATTAATACCTTCTATAGCAAGGTTCCACATTTCAGAGATTTGTTAAACAGCAAAACTTTCTGTGGATATTTTTGCCTTAATGCGAATCTTGGAACACTGATGCTTTCTATAGCATGTCTCCCCCTTTCATCAATTTCCATCACAGGCACTTGTTTCGGAAATAAACTTTTATGCCATAGTATAATGTAATATAATTGGCAAAAATGCGAATCTTGCCCTTCGTGAGAAAATCCACAAGGAAAAAATGGCTGTAATACAAACTTTCCTCTTAAAAGCAGCTTTCTACTCTCCCCTGGAATACAAGAGTTTTTCTTGTATTTGAACAGAGTTATAAATCTCGAACTCTATGGGGCTCTATCCAATTATTAACTCACTGAAAAGGTTAAGATAACCACTAGTGATCGATCTTAGAAAAATATCAAAACAATACAAATCTAACTCTATGAACGGGGCATTAACACGGATCCCGGTAATTCCAGAGATGAGATCATCGGTCATACCTATGCATATTATAATATATTATATATATATTATTTATGTTAATTGAACAATTCCTAGTTGAATTCAGAATACAATTGGTATGAAACATGTTAGCCAAAATACCAAAATACGACCTGTCCGACCATTGATAGATTATATTTGATTACCGTACAAGGTCATTATAATGACCACAGAGTTTATGAAATGATGACTTGAAATCAACACTTTCAAAAAACCTGCCTCAAAAATTGATAGTACTAGGAGCATGCTCTTGAGGGGAAATGCAAACGCCATATGCAGATGATAGTGGAATTTTACTAAATTAATATAAGGAATATTGACGAAGGAAAACCTGAGATCCTCTCGTTAATTATACATTTCTTTTCTTAGTTGACCCTAATCGTCTATAATTATTAAAACATCCAAATATTAAACAAATTTGACAGACTCTATGATGTCTTTTATTTCAAATTTACTGAAATATATTGAGTTGACATATGAATGGAAGTAAACTGAATTTGTTATAATAAAATCTGCATCATAGGAATAAAAAAAAATAAGTCGGTTAATAAAAGAGCCCAACGTTTTTTTTGTCCATATTTTGAATTTTTAACCTTCTCCATAGTAAATTAATTTTCAAGTAATCCGATTGTATATAGCTACAATGCAGGTTGCTGGTTCCATAGTAGTTTATGGTAAGTATGTTTTGGAGATTGAAAGATCAACATATGCAATAAATACGTCCAAATCAAATTGATTTATGTTTTACCATGTAGAAAAATGTAACATTGAAATTGCAGTGTACACTCCTATACAGTCATAATTATTTACAGACCCAGCGTGTTCCCAGATAAATCCACAACACCACTGCTATAAGTTTGATCCATCATGTCCTCCAGAGGAACAAACGGTGGATCCAAGCTTTTCCACGGATAGTATGTTTTCTACTGTCACTACTCCACTTACAACTCCAAACACGGAAACAATAACAACAAGAGAAATTGATGCACACGAGATTGTATTACCTGTGGTTTTTGTTTTGATCATTTTCGGCTGTGTTTTGTTCTGTTGGTGCAATAGACATAGTATACGTAAGTACAAATTGCTTAGATTGAAAGGAAGAAATCATCAATGCTGTAAATCATTATGAAATATTGCTTCGAGTTTTTGAAGACTGAGATAGTACTCGTATATGAAAGATTTAAAATTATATTTTCAGTTAAAAAATGGAATAGATTTCGTGGTGTCCCAGACTTTCAAATCCAAAGAACAAATGAAGAAGAAATGGAAACATTAATGACCATAGGTAATTGATGATATCTTTATACTGTATTTAAAAAAAACCCCACATTCTTCGAATTCCTCATTTTATTTTATGCGATAAAAAGCTTAAAAAAGGAGCTATGCATTTTTACTAGTCTTACATATTTGATACTTGCTCATCATAACTATGTATTTGGTTAGTTTATTAGCTGCAGAACTGTAGCTCTCCAAAAAAATACATTGACAGACCGGAGAGCTACATTGTCACCCATTGAAAAAACTTTATATTTATTGTGCAAAAAAGTGTGCTGTTTCTCGATTTATTTCTCCGTATTTTTCCAACTGCCATCTCAAAATATCATAAACCGTATGTTCCTAACATATTCTTGTAATATATCCACAATAAGACATATCTTATGACCATTGTAAATAGCCTTTATGGGCCTGGAATGGAAACAATTGAAAATTTTGCCTACCAGGTAGGTACACTGCCATTTTGGACGGCAAGATAATTCTATCCAACGCTTTCGTGCAGATATAATATACGAGAGTGTAGTTGGTAGGGGTCAAATAAATAGTTTGAAATCGAGTTTTGTGCAGTTGAGGTAAGAAATTAAGAGAAACTAGAAAAGAAACTCGTTGCGAGCAACAAGAGGTCTTCCGTTCGATTCTGGAAAAAAACCGCAAAAACGAGCTGGAAAAGTGATAAAACTTTTTATGGAAACAAAGGGGATTGAACCCGAGTCGCCAGCGTGAAAATCCAAAAAGCTTACTATTACACTATTGGGACCACAGGTCTAAATGTACTTGTATATACTTCTGCAACAGTACATCTGCCCTATTGTATTTATGTTCAATAACGTAAATCAGATCTATATACATTAATGTTAATATAAACTCCATTGAAGGATCTTTTTTTTTTTTAGAAAAAAATGTTTTCTTACAATTGTCTTTTCTATCTGTTTAATATGACAGAAATGTGCATGAGCAAAACAGTGGTTACGCATTTGATACTTACTATATACATCGACATTGTTTCTTAAAAACATTTACTTATAACTATGATTTAAAATCTGATTTTCCGCAAAAAGCAAAATATATTAGGTATCGTATTACACTATCACATTTAGTCTTTTCTTTTTCTTCTCTGAGAACCAGCCAAAGCTAGTTACAGAAGACATTTGAGACGACTATGGATTAAAACTTAGTTTGACACAGAATTGCATCGTAACTACGATGTGACAATCCAAGTTTTCCTTTACATTTCATTTATCCTTAGGTTACTTCCGTATAAACAAACGCTCGGCTGGCTCCGTAAACCCTGACTTGCGCAATGTCGGCGTTGACAGAGACAGTTGCCATTTTGGACCCGCTTCAGATTTTTAAATGTTAATATCTAGAGTTTAGATTTATCAATATTCAAATAAATTATACAGTTAGCATTAAAAGAAAGGTTTCTATTAACATTCCAAAAATAAATAAAAAATATTGAAAAACAAAAAAGTTAGAAAATATGGACTTTTTAATTTCACTTCCGATAGCAACCGGAAGTAATAACGACGCACGAAAAGGTAATTCCACACATCTAGAAGTCATCATCTATCATCTCTAATAAGTCTCCAGTTAATATCTTCAGCCATTTTTGAAAAAAAGGGGGAACAAAAATCCATTTTAAAATCAGAAAACTGTCAATATGTTGGAACCAAAGGTGAGTATTCCAAATTTTTCTTGCCATGCCACAACTTCATATAATGACGCATAATTCCTGAAAGTTTCATTGAAAACCACTGAATAGTTTTCGAGAAACCGCCTGCACAAAATTTTGGGGAAAAAAATAATAATAAGAAGAAGAAGAAACAGTAGAATCACTAGAAGGTCTTCCATGAAGACGGAAGACCTTAATTATCCAAAAATGAACGCAACATTTTTTGCGCAATACATGTACTAGTAAATATACATTTTTTTTATGGGTGACACTGTAGCTCTCTGGTCACCCATCACAATTTTTCAGACCAGCGAGCTACAGATCTGCAGTAAATATATATTGTTCCTGTGATTGCAAATGTCTCTTATTATGAACTGATATAGTTTGTTTAACGTTGTAATTTCATTTACATTCTTATAAATATGATGCATGAATTATTGTTTAACAATTTGTTGTAGTACATCGGAAGGATATGCAAGTTACAAAAATACTATTACTGCGTATGATACCAGGCACTATCAAAACCTTTATTTGAAAGCTTGATTGGCTATGTCATTGTAATTTTTTTTCTTCAATTTATCGAGTTGTGTAAATACAAATTCAAGGGCTGTTAAATAAATGATGCCAATAATGCCCCCCCCCCCCCTTAGAACTATATGCCATAACTAAGAGGCCCATGGGCCTCATAGAGCATCATGCAACAACTTTCGAATGATTGGATTTGGTTCATGTTTTAAACTAGACGCCATGGCATTCACAATTTTGAAAGAGACACCATAACTAATCATACCGGGTAACTATACACTTAGCAATTGCTAAGTTTGGTGACTTAATACCCATAGGCAGGATAGGGGTATAAAAATACATTTCAATTAATCAGTAATATTCAGCAATAATGAGTAGTGCCCCAAGCACACATGAACTCCTGACCCTAGGTCCACACATTTCACTATTCTGGAAAAGGCACTATTGCTTATCAAAAATTTTTGATTAATACCAAGGAGCAGATTTCAAACAATTAATTCATTTTCGGTATATAAGTAGAGCCCCTTCCCCTCCTCTATGGTACCTCTGACCCAAGGGCCTTGAAATTCACAATTCTGGAAGAAGGGCCCCTGCTCATCATCGCTATATAGGTAGTGCATCTGCTTAATACCCAGGAACAGAGAAGATTTTTAAAGAATTAATGCATTTTTACTGTATAATCAATAGAGCCCTGTGGCAACGCACTTTGAAAAAATTACGCACTTTGAAAAATTTTTTCAAAGTGCGTAATTTTTGGGACAAAATCAACGCACTTTGAAAAATTTTTTCAAAGTGCGTTAAATTTGGGACCATCTCAACGCACTTTGAAAAAATTTTTCAAAGTGCGTTAAGAGTCTACATCAATATATTTTACCATGGAGACACTTAACGCACTTTGAAAAAAAGTCATATTTTAGTCATGGAAAGATTTTATATGTCATTTATCTTTCAAAAAACTAAACCTAACCCTAACCTCAAAAATGAATTGATTTACTCCCGTCGAAAAGAGGAGAAGAAGGGTATAAGATCCCTCAGACCAAATCTTTATCTTTCCAGTATATACATAGGTGTTGGTAACAAACGGTGGGGAGCAATAAACCTAGAAAGGGTATGCTGCATTTTCAATGTTTATACGATGTATATATTTTTCCAAAATAAGTGGTTGGGCTTAGCCCCCCATCCCCTCCCCTGGCCCTTCGCCCAGTCTCGATGTCTATGCTGTATTCAAAGCATTCATATAATTATGTATTTGCCTAACTGGTATGACGTTGAAAACTTTCAATTAATTAAAACAGATGAAAACTACAATTTTCAAGAACAGTAAAACGTATGAGAGAGAAAGAATTTTCATAGTTTTGAAAAATCAAATTGGACCCTTTTTATTATGATATTAAATAATGCTAAGTTGCTTGAAGCTGTCCTCTGTTAGTGCCCCCTATACACCTTTAATATCTACTTATCAAAGACTGGAATTAAAAAAAAAAGAAAAAGAAACGAATTAATTAACTTAAACAATCGTCACTCTTTTTTTCAAGACCCTTTAATTTTCCATTTTATTTTATCAAAACCTTAAATATTTAAAACGTCAATATCTCACGTCCTACAGTGACTTTATCATAAAAAAGTTATTAAACCAGGATCTGTTATTTATCATACCGATTATTTGAAGGAATATTGACCAATCTTTACATTTTTTCAAAGTGCGTAATATGGTCGATATTAACGCACTTTGAAAAAAAATTTTTTTTCAAAGTGCGTTAGCTTAGTCCCAAATTTTAACGCACTTTGAAAAAATTTTTCAAAGTGCGTAATTTTTCAAAGTGCGTTGTAACAGAGCCCCCCCCAAGACCAGAACCCCCTATCCTGGGGCTATAAAATTCAATTTTGAAAGAGGCATTCTTGCTCATCATAACTACTAGTATGTGCTTAGTTTACTAGTATGTAATACCCAAGAGCAGAGAAGATTTTCAAAGATTTAATGTATTTTCACTATATAATCAATAGAGTCCCACCCTAACACCAGAACTCCTGAGCCTGGGGCCATGAAATTCACAAATTTGGAAGAGGCACTCTTGGTCGTCATAACTATGTACTTATCTTGTTTAATATCCATGAGCAGAGGAGAAGATTTTCAAAGATTTGATGCATTTTCACTATATAATCAATAGAGCCCCACCCAAAGACCAGAACCTCTCTCTCTCTGGGGCCATAAAATTCACAATTTCGAAAGAGGCATTTTTGCGTATAACTGTATACTTACTTAGTTTATTTAATACCCAGGAGCAGAGAAGAAGAAATTCAAAGAAATAATGTATTTTCACTATATAATCAATAGAGCCCCTCCCTTACACCAGAACTCCCGACCCTGGGGCCATAAAATTCACAATTCTGGAAGAGGCATTCTTGCTCATCATGGAAATCAATGTTTGTCATAGAGACAAATGAACAGGTGGATATCAAAATTCAGAAATGGTAAATTGTAGGTCAAAGATAAGTTCCGTCCTGGTCGACCAAGAACAGCATCTGATGCAATGATAGCTAAAATTAAAAAAAAAAATTCTAAAACTTGTTACTGATGATGGTCGATTGACTGTGAGACAGTTAGCTAAGTTAGTGGGCTTATCTTCGGGTGCAGTTTACACAGTTTTGAAGAAACATTTGGCACTTAAAAAGTTAGCGCGCGTTGGATACCGCACGTTTTGACAAATGAACAAAAAGAACAGTGTACAAGAATATCCAAACAATTATTGAAAAATTCAGAAACTGTAACTGTAATGATCGACGTTTGTCAGAACTTCTTACGGGTGATTAAACCTGGATTCATTACTTTGAACCCCAGAGAAAATTAACAATAAAATATGGTTAACGAAAAGAGTGAAGCGCCCAGGGATATCCAAAAGATACCAAAGCACTAAGAAAGTGTTTTATGCTATTTTCTTCAATAACAATGGTCTTGTGGCTCAGATTCCTGTTAGGAAAGGTCTTTCGATAACTGGACGAGTCTAAAAAGAAGAAGTGTTACAAAAGATTAAAAAAGTGTATGAGGGGAAGAGAACAAAGTCTGGCATCCGTTACACCGTTCTGCTTTATGACAACGCTCCAGTACACACGTCACGTATTGTAAAAGAATTTTTAGAAAAGGAAAAGGTTGATACATTACCACACCCGCCTTATTCGCCTGATTTGTCTCCCTGTGACTTTTTTCTTTTTCCAAAGTTAAAAAACACCTTTCAGGAAAAAAGTACACTCTAGGAACTCCATAGGATCTGCTTTCAGTATACGAAGAGCATACCCCAAACTGTGCTTAAAAAGGCATTTCGGAACTGGATAAAAAGGTTGCAAAATGTGTTTCAGTTAATGGAGAGTATGTTGAGGGAAATCATTAAAATGAAAACACTGACATTTGTTTTTTGTTTCTTTCTTAACACCGAGGGCACTATTGAACAACCCTCGTATTACAATATCACAACACATGTTGAACAGCCCTCGTATTACAATATCATAACACATGTAACTGTACAGAAGTATTACTTCTAGTTATCTATCTGAAATGTTCCTACCATCTTAGATCTGAATCTTATTTTATTGTGTTTATTTCAGAAGTTAGAAAATAAAATGAATGGAAATTGTCATCAGCAATTTTCTGCTCAAAGCAAGACAACTCATTTTAGATTATCATTATTTTCATTTTGAGTATTTTAAACTACTGGTATATGAAGTGAATATTTCTAGATTGTTTGTTATGAATTATATATATATAATATATTTACATATAAGACCCCAAGGAATTTATCATTAAACAATACATAATTAAATAGCCTTAATCAAAAAAGATCGATCATGAATCCATAAATCTGATTTTGTCAGGATATGTCCACGCTTTTTGTCACATACTCTTCTTTCCCCTCCCACAAAACACGAAAGCAATCTAAATGTAGCAATACATGTACTTGGAACCTTTTGCTTGCTTAAGTTTAGTTGCAATCACTTTTTGATTAATATACTAAAAATATATATATTTAAATATTGTAGGTGAACAAACAGAAGAAAGTAATATTCAAATTGGTAAGTGATATTTTGCGTTTGCACGATAATAGTTACATAAAGCAATTTCTACATGTTATAAAAATATGATTTATTGTCTGACTAAGTCTTATTTTAAAAATGATTTGTCAAAATGAAGAATACAGTGCATCTTTCATACATATTTCTTCATATCTTGATTGTTTCAAAATAACCTCTTGCCTCATTGCTATCTTTCAGTTTGTTTTAAGTTTAACTTGGTAATTCTAGAATTAAAATAATTTATGATAATCCTTGTGCTTTTCAAAGTAAGATTATCGTTTTAAAAAATTCTCAACTCTTCCTACATGTAAAATTTGTATTTTTTATTGGTTCTTTTAAAAAAAATCCTCTATAATTTTTGATGAAAATATTTGTGATATATTTTTTATACAGTAGTGTTTGTTATATTAGTAGTGTTGTAGCAAAGTAAATATAATTTACTTTAGATTTTCTAATAGAGTGGCAGGCGGACGACAAGTTATTTTACGACGGAATCAGCACTGTAGAAGAACTGGAAGAGCGTCTATTGAAGAATAACATAATCATGGTTGTTGGAGGACCTGGACTCGGTAAAACCTCTCTTGTTCGCCATATTGCACTGAAATGGCATAACCAAAGACGAGAGGAAACTGGTAAGGAAAAACAGAGCTGGAAAATATTCGTGATAACTAATTTTGAAGAACTCCACAATATATACAATGCTAATGAACAATCAAAGGACCTA